GAAAGCTCTTCTTCAGTTCAAGTTCAATTTCACCAATATTTCAGTCCACAGATAAGTTTAGTTCAGATATTTCAGTGGACATACAATGCTCATACAGTGCTCTGACAGTGCTCATTCAATTTACTTCAAGACAGGCAAAGGTCCAGCCTACACAGCGCTCACAAATACGTAAATGTAATGTGGACCCTTGACCTACATGTATGCTCAGATATTTGTCTGTGGACATTATCTGTTTTGAGAAGCTAAAACTGTGAGCTTTGAGGATAAGTACAGTACAGTGCAATGCAGTACAGTACAAATTGGTAAATTTAAGTTACTTACAAATAGATGCTGTTAATATGGTACTTGCATTATTATTGTTACCATGTTGTTAGCATCTATTTGTAAGTAGCTTGAGGTGGCTTACTACAGTTTTTCTGAGACTCAGTAGCATGCCCTACAATTGCCTGCCAGACGTTATTATTAGTCACGTGTGCAAAAATGATGCAAGTAACCTTAAGAAAAGCGAAAATAATTTCAGGACTTGAAAGGCATTAAATCACTTTGGTATATGTGGCAATAGCTTCAAACTGCTTTCAAACATGTGTTTAAGCCCAGGGCCAATGAAATATGACAGAAAAGGTCCATAAACAACCGGTAAAAGAGCTTTGATTTACTCTTGCTTTCTTGCACGCGACACATGGCGTCACATGAGCGCATGCATAAATAAAGGGCACGTGCAGTTTAATTCTCATTCAAGGTTGTAAAAGCCAGTCTTTGATCGAGGATTGCGCAAAGTAAGCCACCTTAAATTTATCAATCTTGTCCCAGCTACCAAAATAACCTGTCAACAATGGCCAGTTAATCTACAACTGACAAACAGTGCATTCAAAACCCCATTTTTATTGAAAAGGTCACAAAACATGATCTGCACTGTGTATCGGTGGTCTCTGTTTCTGTTAAGTTCTGTTTTATTGATACATTTTGATTTATATATCATGACATGGTGAAATAAGCAATTTTTTTGAAAAAAATGTTGCTCCTTAAAGAAAAACCACACAGGTGTCATATTACACCCCTACCTCCACATAATGGCCACCTCTTGACAATGGCTTCTTTCCTCTGTCCCCAAGGTGGCCATTACAGAGAGGTTCGACTGTATGCAGAAAACTGCAGACTAATTTACATGTATCACCAGAACGGAATAATATTACTAAGCTGATACTGATCAAACATATTATGACTTGTCTATTCTTATCCATGCTAGAGATCACTCAAGAACCAAGCTTTAATTTGCTACATACATTTGAAGTTCTCATTCATTGCTGATGGAGTGGTGAGTACATGTAGTTCAATGTATGTAATTACATGTACTTCCCTGATCTGCTGTCATTTTAGCAATTGAATTTAATTGACTGCAACTTAAAGTGTTAAATTCTGATATACAATACATGTGTCAATTGATGCAATATGTTTTAAATTGGTGTAGAATGAAGAATTAAACTGGACTGTTTTGTCAACTTTATAATGAGTGTTTCACTCAAGCCTTCAAATAACAGTTGGTCATTGGACAATTTTCCAATAAATTTGAGGTTTTGACCTGTAAAAGCTTAGCTTGATCAGACACTCTGACTGGGCATTTCTGCTACAATGAAAAAAGTTAGTTTATTATACTACTGCACAATACCATGCAAAAAGGCTTTGTCATCAGTTTCCTTTTTATTCCATTTTGTGAGAAATAATTTTATTAGCGCAATGTGTCGTCTCAAATGTCCTGTGGAATTGTAAACACACCACATCAGCGCCACTATTCCTATGTGTTAATTTATGCATTGTGCGGTGAAGCCCCATTTAGTCTGAGTTGAAAACCTGGAAAAAGCGTGTTTTGATGTTTTTTGCCAGGTTACCTCGAGTCAACATTTTTGTCAGAGATGCTAAAAACATTGATCATGACTATAGCACCACATGAGTGCATATGAGTAACATATGAGTACATATGAGTAACACAGGAGTACATACGAGTACATACAAGTACATGTAACATAGGAGTTCATATGCCAGTGGCTTGTGTTTTTTACATTTCCCTCATGTTGTCAAATGCCCGTCATGTTTTATCACAGTGTAATACATGGCTTTACATCTGTGGTCCAAATATAGTTTCTGTACCACAGGCATGTTTTTGTGAAAAGCCAGAATGTATAGTCACACTTTGTAGTCACAACCACAATTCCAATTTCATCTAATTATGCAAATTTTTTATTCAGTTGCCCTGAAAATTTTCAGGGGAAACTTGAAAGTGGAAAAAATGAAGCTTTGAGCTGACTGGCTCATAGCTGCCCAAGATTTATCCCAGTTTCTGTAGCATGAAGTGACTAGGAGTATTTCTACTCCCCCTGGACGGGATGCTAGTCCATTGCAGGTCACTCCCCCACAATTTGTTACATTTCCAGGCTAACAATTTGCCGGTACCCATTTATACTCCTGGGTGGAGAGAGGCACTGTGAGAGTTAAGCATCTTGCCCAAGAACACAACACAGTGTCTCCGGCCAGGGCTCGAACCCAGACCGCTCTATCTGAGGACGAGCGCACTAACCACGAGGCCACCGTGCCTCCGAAACTTACTTTGTGAAAAAGTCAAAGAATTCATTTCAGCCAATTTTCAAGTCTCTGAATGTTATTGTGAGTTTTTAAATGGACAAACTGTCCACTTGGGAGATTGTTGCATTGCTTTTCCCATGGTTTTCCTTAGACGTCGTGGGAAACTTGATACAGTGTATGGGGGAAAATACGGAATGCTTGTGTGATCAACTGTAATAATTGCATTTCATAATCCATGGAAAAGCATTCTTTGGTTAGCAAATAATGGATTTGATTTCCCACAGCTCCAGTGTGACCCACAGTCAGATCTGAAATCTCTGAAGGAAAATTTCAATTGTCAATTTTCAAAAGGTTAAAATAGATAATACCTTCAACTTAATGTACAATGTAAGGGTCCCCTTTCTGGTGTTAGTATCGCTATTACACTCAGCTGACTTTACTTTTAAACCATTCAAATTTGCATCCAACATTTTGGTGAAAGGTCAACACTGAAATTTCAAAATGTATCTTATTTTTTATTTCTAATAACAAAAAAAATGTTTTTGTCCAACCAGACTGTCTTTTTGTCAGGTCAAAACTTGTCCCTGGCCTCAGACAAAAACTGTTTGCCGGGTTGTTCGTTATGTACAGTGTATGACCTGCATAACACCTTATTAAGGCCTGATAACATTGAAATCCTGTAGTTTGATTCAGTTGCCTCCTAGCTAGGTGATCGACATCCAGTAAATATTCAGCATGCTTAGTTGTCGCTGATTAAGGCTGGTCTAGTCACCAGCAATTTTTTTGTGTGGATATTTTTATGTGACATTTATTATTGACCCTGTAGAGGAGGGAATTAGCCAATTTTAATGTGATAAATATTTTTCCCGAAAAGCTGCCGTGCTAGCTTTTATGTAATGAATTAAAGCTGTTACAAGCAGAAAATTGCTTGTGTAGACCATTAATTTTGTCTCATAAAATGTTGCAAATATGTTTGTTAAGACCATATTATTATAAGCGCCTTTGCCTTGTTTCTGTGTATCTGAGTCTGCTGTCCAAGAAAAGACATTACTAAACAGACACTACACTCTGAACTCTTGACAAATATTGGCTGTTACCATGAGACTACACGATTAAATACACCTGTATATTTGTCACATAAAAATTGTCACAAAAAATTGCTTGTTTAGACCAGGCTTATTACTTCTCATAATATTCCATTCACCCATGTAATCCTTCAACATGAACATACATTGTGCAATCCAAATCAGTTTATTTAAATCAGGTTCACACTCTTGCAGTGAATATTCCATGGTTCCTGTGAAATAATTTTAGTTACAGAAAGAGACATTACACACTGTATGACCTTTCATCAATTAGCATTTTTGTTTTGTTGCTGTTTAGAACTGGTTTTGTCAAAGCAGATGATCACAATGTCTAAAGCTGCAACCAACGTTAGCAGCAGTTCAGAGGATGATGGCAATGACGGCTGCAATCTTCAAGGTATTTATGATTTGGCTGGAAGGTTTTCTCGTACAGATTACATTTTATTATAAATTATAGACATGTAGATCAGGATTTCACTAAAGGATGCAAAAAGTAGCTGCAGAAATCTCCATAGCTAAAGCCATGATTCTCCTCATAAACACTTGCCATATGAGGATGGCCCCACATGTGACATGTCCTGTGCATTCCCAGGCAGACCCTAGAGGCATAGCCTGTCTCTAACTGATTGCTAAGCTGTTTTAGCAGTTCAAAAATTAGCTTAATGGGGACAAATGACAACACTGTGCCCAGCCTCTCTGCTTTCAACCAACATGAGCCCAAAGCAATCAACTGCATCACATCAGTCCTTGGGCACTGTTCCACCATTTTCCAGTGCAGCAGTGAAACCGCATCAAAAAACGGCCTCTATTTCAAGACCTGTTTTTCTCAGGGTGTGGGGAAACTTTAGATATAAAAACAACCCTTGATAATTCTGCGGATAGGGGCATTCATGAAACACGTAGTGGAAAAATGGAAATATCATAGGAGTAAGAATTACACATTTCAAGACCTATTTTTATCAGAGGGTGGGGGAACTTTAGATGTAAAACAACCTCTGACAATTCTGAGGATAGTGGCATTCATGAAACACCCACTGGAAATATAGAAATTTCAGTGGGAGAAACCCAATCCCAGACCCATTAATATTAATGGTATTTTGTAGAACTATTAGATTGCAATTTTGAAACCATTGTAAGGCAGCTTTCAGCTGAATACAGATGTAGGTCAATTACTTGTATTTATAAGTATCTCTAAAAGGCCACATGCTGATTATTCATGAGGATCTGTGTTTGTTGTACCAGGAAATCTTGAAATCTATACCAGTGTATGCATAACGTAGGCCACCCATTATATGTCATTCTGATGTTAAATGTATTACCACTTTCATATGTATTGGTTAACTGGAAGCTTCTTCTCTTTCACATATAGTTGCTTTTAAAGAAGGCAAACCTAGTGACCGTGAACTAAATGAGCTGGCGGGAAAGATTGGTACCAAGTGGAATAATCTGGGATTTCAACTTGGCATTTCTCAGGATGTACTGAGTGGAATAGAGACCAATGGAAAAGACAGACCATATGAGATGTTACTTCTCTGGAGAGATACAACATCTTTGAATGCACTTTATCGTGACCTCTACCATGCGTTGTGTTCTGACAGAGTTGGACTTGACAACGTGGCCAAAGAATTTTGTTGTAAGGAAATCACATGATGCATTTTGTTAAGAGACTGCTTACGGTAAAATCAGGGCTGTCACTAATTTTGAAGTAGGCGTGGAAATGAAAAAAAAATAAAAAAATAGCAGGAGATAGGGTCTCGTCACGATCTACAAGACATTGTTTCAAACTTGGTACATTTGGCAGAATAATTTTCACTTATGTATGACACAAAGCGATGTTTTTTGACTGCTATGAAATCATGTCCATATGTAATGGATTTAACTATGGAGGATCCTTAAAGGTAACTTGAATAATTTTCTTCTAGGAGTTATGGGAGCAATTCCCTGTAAAGAATCTAGGAAAGTTTATATAGCATTGTTATGCACTGTAGAAGCCATAATGGCCTCTGTGATATGCTGTTGAGAAAGCGATATTAAAAAATTCAGAATAAGAACTCCTGCTTTTCATTATAATATCTCTATTGTACTGGATTTTTTCAGGTCTTTAATGTTTAGTTTTCTATGAGAGTAGTTGTGTTTCACACTCATAGTAGCGGGTAGAAATCCTTGGTTCCCGACCATAGTGACAGCTTTGATTTTACATCTATGTTTCTTTTCCTCCTTTCTGCTCTATATATAGCAATTATATGAACAGTGTATTAAATTGAAATGTACAACAAGGATTAATCCAGTTGTATTCATTTTTGTGCTGCAAATCAACAGGCGCAGAATTTTTCTGCAAGTGAAGTCAAGTCATCTTTTTTTAAGGCAGGGAAGCCCCATCAGCCATAGGCTGGTATCAAAAGGGGCCCTGCGTAAAATTAAGACCACACAATAAAAAATTCAAAATTTAACATTAATTACCTCAAAGTTATGTGCAAGAAGTTTAAAAATTGAATAAAAAGGAAATGACGTATCTATGAAGTACAATTTTTCTCGATCAATACCGTTAAAGAGAACAATTAAAGTATATCTACATTAGTAGAAAACTAATGGCTAACATGAAAACTAAGAGAGTTCTTAAAAATGGAAAGCGAATAAATAATAAAATAATGAAACGAAATGAAATACTGAAATGCAAGTTATGAAACTGTTTTTTAGACATTTCTTTTAAAGAGATTTGACCAAATACCTGGCAGACTGCTGTGGTGTTGATAAACGTACAACCTGTTTCTTTCTTTTTGCAGATGTGTCGGGAAAAGGGCCAAGTCTACCCAAGCGCCCCAAATTTGAAGGTATTTTTATTACTTAGGACAAAATGAAATATGTGCTTGACTAGTGAAGACTACATCATTAAAAAAATGTCCATTTGATCTAATTTGTTGAAATACGCCAGTCATACACTGCAAATCTTTTTTCTTATTCCTTTCCTCTGGCTCAGTATTGTATAAGAAAGGTGCAGTATGTGACCTGCATGACTGGACACAAAGACTATCTCCTACAGCTCATGACTACTTGTCTGATAGTGAGTCCTCACTGGTGAAAAGTCAAAACTTATGACTCTTTGATTGACAAATGACCACCATCCCCACCGTCCCTATTTTTAACCTCAGCCAATAAGCCTCTTATCCGAAGTTGATTAACCCCAAACCAAAACCGTTGACCGTTAATTTAGATACACTTCTCCAACAATAATTTTTTTTGCAATTAATCTACTCATCAAATGGTTTAGGTAAATCAGGTAATCTGCAATTAAAGGGAAGCGCAATTGACACAATCCAATACTTGTGAGAACATATAAATATAAATGATATTTTCATCAATTTTGTCCTTTTTATATGCAGACGTTCAAAATCGTTGTCTTCTCATTATATTTATTGAAGCGGTGGATAGCTTCCAAAAAAAACTGAGGTTTTATCATATACCATTGGTTCCCCTCCCCACCCCTCCCCCCACCCCCCCAAAAAGATAGAAATTTGTAGCGTTGTCAGGAAAATTCGGGTGAACTAGTCTTAGTACAAGATATTTTAGCGCAGAATTCAAGATTCTAGAAATCTACTGAACTGGTACTTGGTCTGGATTTTAGATTAAAAAAAAATATATATATATTAACTTTCACCCGTAGGCATGGCCAATTTTTGTTATTATACTTTTTTGTAAGGCTTTGTTGCCACGCGCACTGTGATTTGTCAGTTTAGTGTAATCTACTGTACGGCTCCCTATAATTTAGAGCTGTCTCCGAAGCCATCAAACACACTTAGAGATAAAGTGAATGTCTTAGTAACATTGTCTTCACAGCGAGGACTGTAGGTTACGAAACCTCGTTTTTCCCGTTCGATTTATGGCCCTCGCGCTTCGTGCTTGGGCCAGCAGAAATTGAAAGGGAGAAAACTCGGTCCTTAACTTTCAGTACGGACCTCAAACTCTGTTACTAAGAGGTGTTTAAATTGAAATCAGTCGTAGCATATTTAAATCGAGCAAGTGTTTAGACCGATAGGCTTACAGAACAGATTTGGATAATCAGAGTTTTCAAATTAAGGGAGGGATAACAATAACGACTTCTCATTTCTTCTCAACAGATTCTCCAACCAAACAGTTTTTGGTATGGTGCCTGGAAGAGCTGCACGAGTTTTACAACACCAAGAGTAAGGTGAAAATCACACCTTGGGACCCAGACAACACAGTAGATATTGATGAGATTTACATACAGTTATCAATACTGAGAGATGATAGAAAACCTCACGAAACAACGAAAGAAGAGATTCAAGATTACGCTGAAATGTTCAAAGGCT